AACTTTTATAATAGCATCCCACTGTTAAAAATGTTGTACTGCTTCAAGACCGTGGCCTGTGGCACTATTCGGAAGAGTCGCACAGGTTTCCCAAAGGTTCTAGCGAACAAAAAAATTAAAAGGGGGGAAACAGCAGCTCTCTGTCAGAATGAACTGCTGGCACTCAAGTACAGGGATAAAAAGGATGCTTTCATCTTAACCACCATCCATGGTGAAAACACTCGGAGGGTCGTAGTTCATGGCAGAGAGGAATGTAAACGAGTGCCAGTCTTCATACGGCAATATAATCGGCATATGGGGGGCGTTGATCTGTCCGATCAACTGATGGAGCCGTATTTGATCATGTAAAAGACCAGGGAATGGTATAAAAAAGTGGGCATATATCTGATGCAGATGACAATCCACAATGCCTCTGTCATTTTTAAAAAGGCAAATGCTGGGCTGAAAAGCACTTTTCTTTCATTCCAGTTTGAGCTCATTTCTGGGCTACTTGAGTGACACACAAGGAGACCATCAGTGGAGCCTAGCAGAAGAATGGAGGCAGGTCACTTCTGCTTTAAGATTCCACCAACCCCTAAAAAACAAAACCCCCAGAAAAGGTGCAGGGTGTGTTACAAGAGGGGCATAAGAGCTGAGACCAGCTATTACTGCCCTGATTGCCCCTCTCAGCCCGGCCTATGTATTGGCCACTGTTTTAAAATTTTTCACACCCAGGCCGAATAAGTAGACCAGTTTTGGGGTGTGATTTTTAATCATCTGTCTGATTGGTTACCGAATCTTGGCTTTGACTCCCGCTTATCCTGTCTTCTCTGATCCTTGACCTCGGCTTGTCCTATCGTTGTTCCGCTTCTCTTTACTCCTTTGACCTCGGCTTGTACCTTGACAATTCTCTGCTTGTATAGCCCGGCCATTCTAAGGACCGATATTACAAGTTTCTCTCTCTGTGTCGTCTGTCTGTGTTTTGGTTTCGGAATCCATGACAGCTTTGCCAGGGATGCAGATGACTGGGTACTACACCCGGATAAGTTTACCCCAACTATTCCCTCTTTTCACAGCAAATAGTATGCACTTGCTCATAATTTGAATTGATGAGCTGCTTATACTTAAAAATATATGTGGCCTTTGAGAGGTAATTTGCAGTCCTGAGCTGCTGAAATGAGACTTGGGCCCAGCATCCACTTTTGAAAAATATGGACGTGGTGTGTCTCCAATGTGCCCCTTCAACATCCACATAACCCTGAGAAAGGTACACATGGGGGTATCGTTGCACTAAGATGACATAGCTGAGCAACATATTAGGTGTTATACCGCCGTAGCACACATAAGGATAGCAAAATATACAGTAACATCTCCAAGTGTGTGTCAAAAAGGCAGAAAAAATGCTAATTGCAACTAGACTTGGTACAAACTAACAAAAAAATGATCCTACACTTAGGTTTAGAATATACCTTTTGAAATACCCTGGGGTGTCTACTTTAAGAAATGGTAGGCCTTTTGTGGGGTAGTTTGAATTTAAAACCTGCTAAGATGCTTGGAAATTGTACATAGGCCCAGCGTCAAAATTCAAAGTTCGGTAAAAACTGATATGACTTGGTCTCCAATGTGCCCGTTCAACATCCACATAACCCTGAAAAAGGTACACAAGGGGTTATTGTTGCACTAAGATGACATAGCTGAGCAACATATTAGGTGTTATACTGTCGTAGCACACATAAGGATAGCAAAATATACAGTAACATCTCCAAGTGTGTGTCAAAAAGGCAGAAAAATGCTAATTGCAACTAGACTTGGTACAAACTAACAAAAAAAGATCCTACACTAAGGTTTAGAATGTAACGTTTGAAATACCCTAGGGTGTCTACTTTAAGAAATGGTAGGCCTTTGTAGGGTAGTTTGAATTCAAAACCTGCTAAGATGCTTGTTAATTGCACATAGGCCCAGTGTCAAAATTCGAAGTTCGGTAAAAACTGATATGGCTTGGTCTCCTATATGGCAGTGTAGCTTCACGAAATAGTGCCAAAGACATACAATGGGGGTGTCCTTTTGCTCAGAAGACTTAGCTGAACATAATGTGGGGGGTTTGAACTTAGTGGCACATGTGAAATATACAAAATGCCCAGCAAAAATGCAATCCATATGTAAAAAACTCACAAAATTATTTTTTACCACATACTTTGGCATCTATTGGTGAAAAACTAGGGGCATGTTAAGGCACAATATGCACCTTATGAGATACCTTGGAGTGACTACTTTTACAAATGGTAGGCCTTTGTGGGGTTTTTTTGAACAGTCAAACTGTTATAATACCCCAAATGGAAGTATAGGCTCATTAAATCCATCTCTCAAAATTCTACTTTGAGTACTGAAAAGGACAGGTCTCCTATATGGCACTGTAGCTTCACGATATAGTGCCAAAGACATACAATGGGGGTGTCCTTTTACTCAGAAGACTTAGCTGAACATAACTTGGGGGGTTTGAACTTAGTGGCACATGTGAAATATACAAAATGCCCAGCAAAAATGCAATCCATATGTAAAAAACGCACAAAATTATTTTTGACCACATACTTTGGCATCTATTGGTGAAAAAATAGGGGCATGTTAAGGCACAATATGCACCTTATGAGATACCTTGGAGTGACTACTTTTACAAATGGTAGGCCTTTGTGGGGTTTTTGTGAACAGTCAAACTGTTATAATACCCCAAATGGAAGTATAGGCTCATTAAATCCGTCTCTCAAAATTCTACTGAGATTACTGAAAAGGACAGGTCTCCTACATGGCACATAGGCCCAGCGTCAAAATTCAAAGTTCGGTAAAAACTGATATGGCTTGGTCTCCTATATGGCAGTGTAGCTTCACAAAATAGTGCCAAAGACATACAATGGGGGTGTCCTTTTGCTCAGAAGACTTAGCTGAACATAATTTGGGGGGTTTGAACTTAGTGGCACATGTGAAATATACAAAATGCCCAGCAAAAATGCAATCCATATGTAAAAAACGCACAAAATTATTTTTTACCACATACTTTGGCATCTATTGGTGAAAAAATAGGGGCATGTTAAGGCACAATATGCACCTTATGAGATACCCTGGAGTGTCTACTTTTACAAATGGTAGGCCTTTGTGGGGTTTTTGTGAACAGTCAAACTGTTATAATACCCCAAATGGAAGTATAGGCTCATTAAATCCGTCTCTCAAAATTCTACTGTGAATACTGAAAAGGACAGGTATCCTGTGTGGCACTGTAACTTCACAAAATAGTGCCAAAGACATACAATGGGGTGTCATTTTACTCAGCAGATGTAACTGAACACAAAATAAAACTTTGTACAGGAATAGCACACACCAACTTTACAAAATACACACAAGAAGTTCTTTGTTATAAGTTTGTGTGCCAAAAACAAAAAAAACCCCACAATTTTACTCCAATATTTAGCAGAGGTTAGCGGTGAAATGGCTGCGTAGAAAGTGTCAAAACAACCTTCGGTAAATAGCCTGTGATGTCTACTTTATATAAATATATACTTTTGTGTGGCAATTTTGTTTTCTTTTATGGCTATTAAGCTTACAAGACAAACATACCAAATTCTAAAATCGCTCCACATTAAAAATTTATTTTACTCCTTGTGTTTTGTGACCTGTAACTACCACAAAAAGCTGAAAATCCCAGACACATTTTTTATTTTTTTTATTTTTTTATAATAAATGAGCATTTATATATATATATACATATATATATATAAATGTGTGTGTGTGTTACATCAAATTAAAGCCCTTTCTGTCCTTTAAAAAGCGCTATATAATATGTGTCGGTGCAATAAATTAGTAAAATGCAAATTGCAGTTGAACGTAAACAGCAAAAAATTCAAAAAATGCTGTTGTCATTAAGTGAAAGACAAGCTTCTGAAGCTCTGTCCTTAAGGGGTTAAAATTAGAATTAAGAAACAGATAAAGATAGGTTTTGCAAATAGGTTTTAGTATTTTCATATGAAAAATTGTGTAAAATGGTGAATGTGAAATTGATGAGTCATTGTAAACATGTTCTGCTATAAGTAACTATCATCCGCCATGTTAGACAGTGTATCTGCAATTTAAAGTATTTGTTTGATGCAGATAAATAAATAATGTGTGTATTAAAGATTATGAATAGCTAGGATGACTTCTCGAGACTTGGCACAGAAACTTTACTTTCTCTACATCAGTCTCTGGACCCAATAGATAAGAATATTAACCAATGGAGTGTCGAATAACCGTTTGAGTGTTTATCATCATTCATTTTCTTGCCAATGTTTGAAGTGTATAAAGCCATTTTTTTTAAGCCATTTTGCTTAAAGCTATCATGATTTACTCAAGACTCTGTGTCTGTATGAGTCAGTCTCCATTCCCAGGTACTCATTTGCAAGTGCTCTCTCACATCTATGAGCATGTTGGCCATCCATGTATCAAGAGAAAAAAGGACTGGGGTAACTGACTGTTGAGGTAGGGTATGGGAGGGTGCTAAGCAGAAATACTAGAATAAGTTGGAATGGAATCAAAGAAGGGGTACTGTAATGATGACTTATTAAAGTGTTTAAAGTGCGGCTTGGTGAACTGAACTGTGAAATGGCACAAGAATAATCTCTACCACACCATAAACAAAATTATAGTTAAATAATACCAGTCAAATGCAGGCAGACACCCTACCCAGATTAAGATAGTTATATTTATGACTAAAAAAAGTTTTACTTTACTTTTAAAAAAAGCTCAAAACAATAGAAGGGGACAGAACTCAACCAGAAGTACCAGTTGCTGCACTCACACTAGAGATGTCAAACTCTCCAACTCATATACAGAACATCGAGTTTGGTATGGGCACACAACACCTTTTTATTTAGCAGATTTATGGGTCATGAATAGTGAGGTCCCGAACGGTTCGCCAAACGGTTCGCCGAACGGTTCGCGAACGGTTCGCCAAGGACTCATCATTGTGTAAACTTTGACCCTGTACCTCACAGTCAGCAGACACATTCCAGCCAATCAGCAGCAGACCCTCCCTCCCAGACCCTCCCACCTCCTGGACAGCATCCATTTTACATTCATTAGTGAGCTGTCCAGGAGGTGGGAGGGTCTGGGAGGGAGGGTCTGCTGCTGATTGGCTGGAAAGTGTCTGCTGACTATGAGGTACAGGATCAAAGTTTACTCAATGATGAGTCCTTGGCGAACCGTTCGCGAACATCACTAGTCATGAATAGATGGAGTGTTCTTTGATCCGCCTATTCCTTGACTTAATAAAGCTGCTTGCTAAGAAGCTATTGAGTGCGCATACAAAATTAAATGTCCTTAATTTCGAAAAGCTATATGATTTTTAAAAATTTGCATGTGTTTTTGCGTCTTAATAATTACAAAACAATAAATACTAAATGTAGCAGGTTGGCTTTAAACAAAGACAGTCTCAGTTCCTAGTGAATAATTGCTATGAGAAAAGTTTTCACTGGGTAATAAAAATTTACTCTTGTGTACTTCTTGTATACTTGGGTAAAAGAACTTTGAGCTGCACTCTGTTATATATTTTGCACATTTTGTTGAATGAAGGTAATTGGTTTACAATTCCACAGGTCAGCAAATTTATTTATTAATTTTTATTCAAGATTATTGGTACAATCTTTTTAAAATATTAAATTAAGAAATTTTTCTTTTTTTTAGATTTCGTATACTTGAGCTAAATTGTTGCAATATAACACAAGTTACTGTTTAATAAACTATGGGATTATTAAAGCACTTTGAATCTTAAAATACACAAAATAAAACCAGAGTCATTTGTTCATAATCTTGAGACTTTTGGTTTTTACTAGGCCTCCCCATAGCTTTTTGTAATATTCACTCTGTAAAAGTATTGAAACATTTCAGATATGACTCACATGTGTCTCTTTAAAATAATTTTAATACAATGAAATCAGTAACAGCTGGCTGTGCAGTGTATTTTGCAGTATACCCCATATCCCATACCATCAATCCCATTCCCTTGACTGCTGATTTATAAATTACATCACGGTATGTCTGTAATTGTGTCAATACATCTTAATCTTGTCTAGAAAAAAATGATATCACCTCCTGTTGTTATCTCTAGTCTTATTCAATTTATTTTTACAATCTCTGTATATCTTGTTTAAGCAATCTGATCAATGTATCAACCACATAGGAGTTGCTAGAGGTAGAGAAAAATAGATAATCTGACCGTATGATTGTAAAAACAATTTAACTTAAACATTTTGGGGGGAAAACGTGCTAAAATGGCAATGTTTAATACTCTATGGCTTGCAGATCTGGAAACAGTGGCCCAGATATAATTTGTGCCATTAGCCTTAAAAGAGCCATCCCAATAACAAAAAATATCTGTAGTTTCACATTTTAATAGAAGCAGCTAATTTTTTTTTGAAAACTCAAAAAACATCACAACTACTGTATTTTTTAGCGTTTATAGTTCAGTTTTATAGCTCAGTAAGTGACAATATACACTGTTAGGTCCGGAAATATTTGGACACTGACACAGCTGTTAAAATGTTGGCTCTGTACGCCACCACGATGGATTTGAAATTAAACAGCCAAGAAGCAATTGCAGTGTAGATTTTCAGCTTTAATTCAAGGGGTTGAACAAAAATATTGTATGAAACATTTAGGAATTGCAATCATTTTCACACTTTAGTATTCATCCAGCTACTTTCAAATTATCAGTAAACACTAGTGACCAGTGATGATAGTATGGATCATGAGCCATCTCAAGCCTTCTCCATACTTTTTTTTTACAATTATTCTGGTACAGGTTGATCTTAGTATCATCTGTCTAAAGAATGCTGTTCCAGAACTGGACTGGCTTTTAAGATATTTTTTGGCAAAGTATAATCTGGCCTTTCTATCCTTTAGGCTTATTAATGGTCTGCACCTTGTGGTGAACCCTCAATATTTGCTCATGTGAAGTCTTCTCTTTATGGTAGACTTGGATAATGATATACAAAAAATAGAACAAAAAAGCGCAATATAAAATTAAATCGTCTGTATGACATCAAATATTAAAAGTCCAAAGATAAAAATTTTTAGCTGCCAGACCTAAAAGGTTATTCTGCAAACCTATGTGATAGAATGTACAAAAGTAGATGTAACGGCACCCCGGGCATAAAAGGGGTTAAACGCTGTTTAGAGGATATTCCCCTTCCAGATACACAGGCAGCTACCAAAGACACCAATCCGCCGAACAGGAAACCATATGAATGCCGTAAACAGCCGAACCGGAACCATACGAATGCTGTAAACAGCCGAATAGGAAAAAACATATGAATAGGTTTACACTCCTAGCAGTCAAACTGGAACAGCATACAATAAATCCCCCCAAGAACGAGACAAAGCTCCATGTTGAGGGTCAAGCAGTGAACAGCCAGAGCTGTGGGTTTATTGTTCTTATATACACATTCTTACACATTAGTACCACCCACAGGGTTTTGTAAAACAATCAATAAACACGTACAATACACTCAGACACTCCCACACAAAATCCTCCCCTCTGCCTGTGATACAATTACCTTACACAATGGGTTAATGTAATTATCACAGGCAGAGAAATACAGTTTTTCCACATTATTCATAACTTTAAAAGTATGCATCACATTCACATAATCAGCATAGTCCAAATACAAACATACATCAAAATCATACAAATTGGTCCAGTGGTTCAAAAGATAGATCGTAGTCCTTTGTGACCAAATGAAGCCTGGCTTTTCTTCCCAAAACCAGTTCCACAGAGTCTTCTATCCTGGAGATAATTGGGAAGTAAAACTCCACTGAACACATGGCAGCAAAAGACAATAAAATACATTAAAATATATACCTGTGCAGCAATTGCATAAAACAGGTACATTCCACATATCCCCAGATAGCTCAGATCTGAACGCACATTATTACTGAATGGTGCTCGGATCACACACATACAGTTCAATTGCCATGGAGCCAAAGTCTTTCCCATAGTCTTTCATTATACAAATGGCATAGCTATCTGGGGTATCATCGCTCAAACAGGGCAAGCACCGAATGACCCGGCTTTCGTGTCTTTCCAGGGGAAAATCAAGCATTTCAACATGGGGCCATAGTCTAAAGGCAGCAGGCGAGCAGTATTACCACTCCGTTAGTGCAGTAGAAATCCAGAAAATGTCCAAGGATCTAGCCGAAATGCTGCAAGTTCAAATGGAGGGAAGACAAAGCTCTTAACTGCCAAAGGTGTCTGCCTGGAAAGATAAGATGAAAGGCTTCTAACTCATCCACGCGTTCTGCCCGTACTCAGCGGGCTTTTTCAAGAAAAATGTACACCAAACTAGATTATCAAATAATAATAGAAAAAAAAAAGAAAAGGCCCGCTGAGTACGGGTGGAACGCGTGGATGAGTTAGAAGCCTTTCATCTTATCTTTCCAGGCAGACACCTTTGGCAGTTAAGAGCTTTGTCATCCCTCCATTTGAACTTGCAGCATTTCGGCTAGATCCTTGGACATTTTCTGGATTTCTACTGCACCAACGGAGTGGTAATACTTTCAGCACACTGCTTATCTGCTACATATTCTGGACTCTGTTTGGATCCTTAGATGGAAAGTAGGATTTACCATCTTTTTTACTGTGTATGAGTTTTTAAAAGGATTTACATGATATTAATAAACTGTGTTGCAATTTCTTTGCTTGGTTTGTATCTTTGAAGATATGTTACTGTGATCACTGCTGTTGGATACAAAGTTTACACAGAATACTCCTAATTTCCTAAACTACCGCTGTGGAGGTGGAAATCATACACATTTATCTCAACACCCAGCTTCCCCACAAACACTTATTTGGGGCTATTGCACAGCACTGACATTTATCTACTTTTGGATAATGATATGCTTTCCTCCTGGACAGTGTTCTTCACTTAACTAGATTTTGTGAAGGGTTTTTTCTTTAGCATGGAAAGGATCCTACGATCAGTCACCACTGTTGTTTCGCATGGATGTCTAGGCCTTTTTGTGTTGCATAGCTCACCAGTGTGTTTTTTCTTAGAATGTATCAAACTGTTGGCTTAGCCACTCCTAATGTTCCTGCTATCTCACAGATGGATTCTTATTTTTTTTTTTTTTTGCAGCTCTAGGATAGCCTGTTTTACTAGCATTGACAGCTCCTTTTGCCTCATCTTGCGGGGTTCACAACTACAACTTCCAAATGAGCATAGCACACCTGGAACCAACTCCAGACCTTTTACCTGCTTAATTGAGGAAGAAATAACAAAGGAATAGCCTACACCTGTCCATGAAACAGCTTTTGACTCAATTGTCCAATTACATTTCGTTCCTATAAAAAGAGGGGGCTACATTTCAAAGAGCTGTAAATTCTAAACCCTTCCTCCAATTTGAATGTGAATACCCTCAAATTAGAGCTGAGAGACTGCACTTTAAGCCCATATTCATTATCTAATAGTAACTTGAATTTATTGTTATAAACATAACAAAACTTGTGTCGTTGTCCAAATATTTCAGGACCTAACTGTACATATATATATATATATATATATATATATATACACATTATTCTATTATTATATATTATTGGATTTAGATATTACAATTTGTATTATTTAGTGCTACAATTCAAAACAATTAAATAGTTCACATGCAAAAAATGCATCACATACAGTTAATATGCTCTATGCTAAAATTCCATTTATTGAGTCATAAATACTCACTAAACATATGTGAACTTTTTAGCCCTCAACCCTTTCAGCCATCAAACTGTATCTATCTATCTATCTGTATATCTATCTATCTATCTATCAATATTGTCTATTGATCTAGCTGTTTATCTAGCTATCTACCTAACTTTATATCTACCTATATATATTGTGCCAGGGATGGCCAGAAGGAGATTCCTGGCTATTTCAAAACTACAATGTAATTCAATAGCATATTGAAATCTTTATGCACCCTTGCAAATTGACGGAATATGTATAATGCAATAGATATTTCACTAAACTTTGAATTGCACCAAATTAAAATCTATCTGACAACATTTTGGCAGATAAAGTGAATTTGGAAAAATCTCCAAAAGCTTGGCTTTTCAAGCCACATTTTGCTATATTCGGTTTTTATTTGCTACTCTTTAAAAGT